ATGGAGTAAAAAGAGCAAAAACTGGCCCCCAAAAAACATGTATGCTTTGGCCATATACTCCCTTTGAAAGTTCTTCTCTCTGGAAAACATGCCCAGTCAGTATCCTCACATTTGAACTGTATCTCTTATCTCTGGGCTTAGTGGGAGGGCAGGGTAGAGAAATAAAAAGGGGTTCTTACTTTTAATCCTGTCTCATCCTTGGAAATGTCTATAAGATACATATAAATATTGAACGCTGCTTACATTATGGTAGTTTCAGAAAAAATGTTTGCCTCTATCAGAATCCCTTGAGAAGATTATTAAACACAAATGTCAGGGCCCAGTCCTCAAAAACACTAATTCTACACGACTGGGGTACAACCCAGGCATCTATATTTGAGGCACAGCAAAGATTTAGTACTACTAACTTAGAAATACAAAATTTTTAAATTTAGTTCTAAAACACACACACACAAATAAATGTCCCTTTTTAAAAGGCTTCTCAGTTAAAAGAAAATAGATAAGAGAAAGAGTAAGTAAGCATATATATGCACAAATGAATAAATGAATGGACCTACCCAAGTCCAGCTAAATCTGAAACAAGATTTCCCAAAGCGGCAGCTAAAAAAGTAAAAAACAGACAAGTGAATTATTATATAGAATTCAGAAAAATCATTATAATACATCACTATGTAATCAATAAAGCACTGGTCTGTTAGAATTACCACATTTCTCAAATTACAATTATATCTAAAGTAACTCATTGGATAGCTCTGAATCTCAAGATTTCAAAATAGAACACAATTCTCCTGAGATTATACTATTCTACCCCCATCAAATAGTAGGGTTTTTCTGTTATGGCATCCAGGTTCCATTTTGGTTTCAATTTTAAAACACCTCTACAGTATTTTGTAGCTGTAATTTTCAGATAATATTTGTTTAAGGGAATTTGGATATTTGGAAGATAAAAAGTAAAAAGCCATATGTAGAGCTCTGAAATTTAAGAAAATCAAGGAGAAGAAACGTCTCTTTCATTGACTTCATGTGTTCCAGATAGTAAACACAACACAGAACCACTCCCAAATTTCAACATTATGAAGAAAAGAGTGTTAACTTAGGGGAAAGAAGGAGATAGAACCAAATTAGGTTTTCTGTGTTGTATTTCCTTCTCTGATTTTTCTACCCAACTTGAAAATAAATAATTTAATAAATAAAAGGGGCAGAAAGGTTTTAGGGTAACACTGAATTAAGAGAAAAACTTTTTAAACAGTATAGATTAGATTACGGTTATCAATTAACTAACATAAAGTACCTAGAATTTCTCAGAAAAAAAAGTACGACATACACAAAATTAAGAATTAGAGGAAAAGGATATAGGAGATAGACAATGAGCAAACTCATTCAAATTATCCTCTTCTAAACTTAACCTACTGAAATGTCTTATATAGAAACAATGGAATAATATCACTATTATTAAATACCTGCCATCGTTGAAATTCCCAAAATAATTCCAATAGACATCTCAATATGGGTTCCCTGAAAAATGATTACAAAGAACTTAATCCTAAAAATTAAAGCTGAAGTGACTTTAAAAGAATAGCAGAACATTAATAAAAACATAAAATAGTTAAATCAACATGTTTTACAGCAAAATTATATACACAAAATATGCAGAAATATCAATATTTTATTCATTAAAATTAGGCTTTCATAAAAATAAAAAATATCAACACACACAGCAGTACAAGTCATCATTAAGAAGCTAGAATCTGTATTTTCCTATCACAAAGAAAGATACTTCAAAGCTTTTTGAACACAAAGATGACCAATTCATCTAAATTTTAAATTCTGAATGATATATCTACACTACTGTTATTTAGTCTATGAAAGATTAAAAGGACTAAATCAGTTTCTAGGGACCCAAAAGCTCAGACTTCAAAAATTATCTTATGACACTTAGTTCTTTAGCCATGAAATAGTGAGACCATATGATTCATTTATAAGTGACAGCAGCATTTAGTACAATAGATCTACAACAAAAATGAAGTTTTGTTGTATTTTCACAGAACTTATTTATTGAGATAACTTAAGATTTTCTATATCTATCTCATTCCTCTGAAGAAAAGAGGGGCTCGTATTTTTAATTCTACTTTAAAGAGAAGGAACTAAAATGAAGAAGATTCAACTATTCTAATGCTAGAATAAAGAAGAAATTCTAGAATCTATTGTGCTGCCATAAATGGACTTAATTTTCAAAAGCTCTCTTAAATACTGCTGCTTGGAAATTCTTAAAATCTCAATGATATTTGTGAGGAAAAAAAGCAAGAATGCTCTCTCTGGAATGTAGAAATACTGCATTACTCAATTATTTACAAAAGTGAAGAGAAGCTGAGTTAAATTTTCAACTTTCTTTTCCCTAAGGCTTTTGGTTCCATCCCTTTAAAATACAGTTCTTATATAGTCCAAAGAGCCTGATACACAAAAGTCTCCCAGGCACTTAAAATTATAAGGTTGTAAAGGTACTCAAAGAAAGAGATTTCTGAAGAATGAAAGAAAAGAACAGGCACAAAGAATAAGATGTGTATCCGTAAATATGGATGCAAAAACAAACAAACAAACAAACAAAAAAAACTCCTGGAGCTTTAACATAGAAGAGAAGTGTTTGACAGTTACAGTGTTTAAAAAATAAAAAACAGCATCTTTAACAGGAATGAATCGTTAGGAATGACCCAAGAAGAATCTGCTTGCAATGCATGTATTTAAAAAGTATTTAAGTGCTTAATCATTTGATTAAATGTAAGGAACCTGAAAGTCCTTCTAATAGCATACAAAGCCTCAAATTAAATCAAAGTCAATGTGAAGGCAATGGACTAACCTCTCCTTTACTTTTTTCTAATTACGTCAAATTTCATGTTAACAGGTTAGAAATTATAAACAAATCTAATACTAGTTGTCTTAAAGTTATACCTGGTTCATTGTCTTAATACAATTAATCTATTCTAGAATTCTAATAAATTCTATCCTAACTAATAAGAACAATAACCCAAAATCACACTCAGTTACAAAAAGCAATCTCAATAACAAAAACATAATAAAAAAACTATGAAACTAAAAACTTAGTATGAACAGCAGCCAACAAAAAAGGTCAAATCTATTACAAGAAGTTATACGAATTTGTTTTTATGACTATAACTCGGGCAGCAGCAGCCCAGAGAGTACACCTAACAAGAAAGAGGAAAACATCAAATGTCTATGGCATGACAGAAAAAAAGAAGCAAATATCTTAACTAACTATATCTCAAAAGGCATAGCTGTCCCACAACGTTAGGAAGCTATCAGTGTTTTTCTAAAAAGGTGAAAGAATTTCTTATTATACTAATGATCTCTTGTTTCCCTTTTGATAGGTTCTTTAATTATATCATTTATGTATTTCAGTCTCAGCAGTCTATTACAAAGCCTCTTTGGAAAATTTCACTGTCCCTGAATTAGTCTGCAATTATCACAGGATAATATTTTTGTCACACTTATCACTCTTAATCAGGTATTGAGCCAGTGGTTTAAATATTTACTTTAGCATTATATAAATAACAACCTGGTGATAAGTCCCTGAAACTGGATTTCAATGTAAACTAGAAAAATAATCTAGTAATAAACAAATATTACTAAATTGGAGTCAACCATATGGGGCCTGCAAACACAGTCCAGTCTCAGTTATACTGAGACACAGGCCTAAGTAGCACAAAATAGTGAACAATATTACAATAATTTGACTCTAGAATGTGGGTGTTTTGTTTTGTTTGGGTTGGTAGCTCTATTTAGATATTTGTTTCAAAAAAAATAAGACCAGACTGTGAAGGTCTTATTCAAGATCTAAAAAGCTACCCAATTTCTCTATTCTGATCTCTCTTCAAAATCTACCTGAGTCTCTCTTTATGCAAAATATATCATCTCAACACTTCCCTGTAGCAAGAATGGTCTTTCAGCATTTGAATTATCTAATATCTGCTCTACTGAGGTGGGGAAAAAAAAAAAAAGATTATTAGGATGGTAGTATGGGAGGTACTAGCTGTCAATAGAGAGAATCTAAAATGTTGAGTGAATTGTATAAAATCGAAAGAAATATTTGCCACAGAGAGACTTTAAATCAGACAATCTATTCAAAAACACAGCAAGTCTTAACTACAAGTTATAAGTTCATCAAAATGGGTTTTTCATTACAACTAGATTTGATTTACATTAACTATTTAATAATCTAACCAATTCAGATTTTAGCAATTTCAGAAAAGGCAGTGTAGTTCTAAATGGTTGAATAACTTTCTCACATTCGCAGATATATAAATTGGCCACTTTGATTTTTTAAAATTTAATTATTTTTATTTTTCAGTTATAGTTTACATTCAATACTATGCCAATTTGATTCCTATATACATATGAGAAAAATGTTGAAATCAGTCAAAACACTAGCATTTTGAAATCATATTTCAGAGGCTTTTTCCCTACTACTCTAAGGAATTTTCCAGTGAGTGCCTGTCACCTTCCAGTTATCTGCATGCTAGAGTATTATCTGTGAATTTACCCTGTAAGTTTCCTCAACCAGATGAATGGCCAGGCTTTTTGGATACCTGTTTCCATCAATCTGGACATAAAGTAAGACTATACAGCAAAAAAACCCCAAAACACTCTTGAATGAACAAATGTTAGATAATCTTTAAGCAAATTTTATAATCTATACAATATAAATTATCCTTTTATCCCTATTTGAAACCAAATATTTGATTTATGTTCACCTGTAGTACATGTGACCTCCAAAACACACACACACACACACACACAATTTGCATCTCTCATATGTATTTTCCTCACATTCAATAATCCTAAAATTATTCCATTTTTTAAAGCGGTTTCCTACAAAATCACTAGAATTTATAGAATTTTTAAAAAGTTGTAAAGTCAGTGAAGAGAAATGGATAGAGCACTGGGCAGGTTCAGAATACCTGCATTTTAATCATGGGCTTACTTATGACTTTAGAATCTAGACCCAATACTGGTATCCATTAACAAAAGGTGTCACATGACGGTAAAAAGGTAAATCAGCCATCCCTGAAGCTAAACGACACTTTTAAGGAACACCTTTACAGTAAAATGACCACAGCAAAGGAGAATTTTTTTTAACACTACAATGGAACAAAGACAGAAGGGGTATATATTCAGTGTTCCAAACTGAAATTTAAAATATCTTCAGGTTAACTGGATTGACTATATTGAAACATCCTTTAAAACATTTTTGTATGGAAAACTGAATAAGGAACTAATCAAATAACATGTGTGATGTGAACTGCTGAATTAAATAATTCGTAATGTGAATTAAATAACATCAGAAAATTTTATATACTTTTTTCTTTAATAAGAATCTTGAAACTAGAACAGTATACTATAGACTCAATAAATGTTTATTACTGATAATGCTTTACCAAAAGTTTTAATGATTAATATATGTGATGTCTTAAAATTAGTTATAATCTAACATAAAATATAGTAAAAAATAGCTTCATTATATTAATAATTTTATAGTTATAATATGCAATAATCAGGAAAATATAAACCATATAAATTTCTTTATTAACTCAAAATAGAAGGGGTGAGAGAGAGAACTTACTGCAACAATCATAATTGCATTATCCAAAAAGCCAAACCCTATGAAAGGTATCGCATTGTGGATGAATACTGAAAAACATCAAAAACAGAAAATATATTTTAAGATTTCTATTATTTTAAAATGACAAAAACAGACCATATGATCAAAATCTCTCTTAAGTAGAGTTGATAAGCTTTGGAATTTGCTTTCCATTCCCCATAGCCAAAAGATTCTGCTCCTGCTATAAGTTTAGCTTCTTGATAGAAGCTATACTGAGAAATAAAATAAAATAAAATAAAAACACATAACACGTAAAAACAATTGTGTTAGGCTTTTGTGTTTTCTTACTGGCAACACACATATACATATGAATTACATACAATTAATGGTAGAACAAATAAATAAATACATATGAACACCATGTTTTACCTGTTTAATTGCTATTGACATCAATCTGTTTCTCTTATACCTAAAAACTGATATCATAAAATTGATTTCCACATTAGAAATAATAAGAAATTCCTTGAATTAAATTTCAGGAAAGCTCTTTGGTCACTTTTACTCACTAAACAATTTTTTAAACAAACATTAGAAAAATGTGATTATCTCATTTATATTGGACATCTGTGTGTAAAGTCTCCCCCACCACACAATGCATCAGTATCCCTGAATACTTTCACAAATTATAAACAATATTTTATTTAAATAAAAATGTAATTTGGCCTATTCTTACCAAAGGCACACCTTACCTCATCTACCTAGTATATAATATAATCTGAATAACCTGAGATAATAGAAATGTAACTAGGAAGAACTAATACCTATATATTTTTATACATTTAGCCTCCCTTTTTTCACATTTGCATCTTCAGCACATTGCAGAATGCCTAGTGCATAGTAGATGCTCAATAAATATTAGTTAATTAAGTTGAGGACCACTAACCTGAAAAGGAAGAGAATTCCAGACTGAGAGAACTGAAGGCAGACTGTGAAACAGATTAAAAGCTGGGGATAGTTAAAAGACTTTATTCCAATTAATCTATAAATTTCCAATGTATAGTCAACATCAGTTCAACTGAGGACTCTTTTTAGATAAACATCAAAACTCTGAGTTTTATATCATATCCAAAAAATAGTCCCTTAAATCAACTGGTTATATGTGTTCAGTTTCAGTAACTTTAGAGTCTTTTTTTTAATCTAGTTAGGTCCACAGAAAGTATAATTAAAATATAAGCCAGAAGTTAAGAAAGTTTGATATTACTACAAATTGAGTTCTGTACCAACCAGGAAAGGCTAATAAACAGTCTAAAAAACCCCACCAGAAAAAAAAAAAACCACACAAAACAAAAGCACTTCTACCCACAAGCACTATCGAAGACTAAGATTAGGGAAAATAGTAGATATCCTAGGTCATTTCAGATTTCTTTTTGTTATCAAGTAAGAATATTCTAGATAAAAAGCAGCATCTTTTTAATTATAAAGAATATTATTTTAAATGCAGTTGAGTATGTTAAAAATCAAATAGAACATAATGAAATGGGATTTTTCAATTAAATAGCCTAGTTTTGGTTCTTTGACTTTTTGCCTAAGTCTAGTAATCTACTAGACATAAAAAATTTTATAATAAGTAGCTTCCAAAACATATATATAATTCCAATTTCCAAAAACATAGCACAAATTTGATAGGTCAAAAGAGTATAACGAAATTTTAAAAATTTACTAAAAAAAAAACCCCAAACATTTACAGTGAAGAAAAAACTACTTAAATTTATCTCTGGAGAGAGGTCCCACAAATCATCTTCTCAATCGTCTTTGAAATGTAATACGGCAAAGTAACTATGAAACCTTTGAGATTACTTAACATTTGGGGGTTACTCTGACAGCATCTCTAAAACCGGCCAGTTATAAATATCTTAAATTAGGTGTTAAGGCTATTAAAATAAGATTAGACCAGTTGCTAACCTAGTAAAAACCTGGTTAGTAAAACCAAGGCACGTTGCTATAATAATCACTTTGAACTATAAAATATATCATGTTTTTATGCCTAGACTTAAATAAATGTATATCATATTTTTATGTCTAGACCTAAATAAATGTGTCCTATAAGTAAAAAAAAAAAAAAAAATATATTGTTAACCCAAAGGAAAAAAATATAATTTTCAAAAAATTAAATTAACATGTACTGGATACTCCACTGGCGCTTGAGACTTGGTTACCAGCCCTCAAGAAGTTTGGGTATGATAACACAGCCATATAAATAGTTAATTTCAATATGACCAAAAATTGATAATAGTATTATACAGTGCTATGGATATTGACTGTATGAATCTAGACTAGGAGAATCAGGAAAGATTACCTAAAGAAGAGAAGTCTTAACAAATTCTTAAACTATTTTGATATTTGGGAAAAGTTACTTATTTCTAACATAAATTATATTCTACCTTTGAGAGAAAAAAGAATTATTAAATAAGTTTAAAAAAAAATTATGTTTGCTCTCCAGTATGTAATGATCTTCCAATTTGTAATTTCTTCAATTTCCTTTGGGAAATAATATTCTGTACCTCAGTAATTGTTAGCAAATCACATCTAATATTTAGCTCTAACTGACAGCCTACTCAAATTCACTTTACTGTTAAATAATTCTTCTTCAAATGTCTTTATAAGATCCCAAACTGTTTGACATACTTCAGCGTTGGCCTTTGAATATTTACTCCTATCATAACAAAGAAAGCATACCAGAAGCATCCTAAGATTCTTCTTCCTGGTGGTTTTAAATCAACTTTACTTTCTTCATTATTACAAACAGAAAGCCTGGGGTATTTTCTCCACCACAGAACAGTTCCACCTAGCCTTGAGCCTAGAAATTCTAGTTTGACAATTGCCTAACTTAAATCCAAACTGAATTAAATATATCCTTTTTCCTAAGAATTAAGCAAAATTCTACCATAAGTATAATTCTACTTGTAGACGGTAAAATATTTAAACGATAATGCATATGGTTAATAATATTAGAAATTTGGTAATATTGTGATATGTGTTAAACCAAGCTTATAAACTGTTTGCTTCAGCATAATAAATAGGATAATCCACTCTATCTGGAAAAGTTTAATTCACTGACTCTTTTATACTATCAATGAATGATACAGTTATTTTACATCCAAACGATAGATACACAATATTTAACAATTATAGAACCATTACCATATCTCAGCTGTCCTGGGGTGGGTGGTGGAGCTTCCAATTTTTCTAAAGGGGAAAAAAAGGGTGTGGGGCAAGAATTAGTTACTATAGCATGATTTCTTTTTTATTACAATGAAGAAAACACCAGCAGATTTACAAAGTGAGAAAACATTAGAGTTTATTCATAAATTAACTTTAGGTTAATAGACCCAAATTATCCATACAGAAAATATTACTTGGTATGGATTAAATTACAAGGCTATAAAACAAAAATGAGTAAATCATTTGCTTTTTTTTTGTTTTTAAGTCCTTACTTCTATATAATGAACCTGTTTACATTAATTACAGTAAAAAGAAAACACTGCAAAAATACGGCTACCCTTCTTTAAGACAGCAACCCTACATGACTTAAGAAATATACATACAAATGAATATTGATAACATGAAAAATAATATTCAAAGAGACCTAGGTGTCTTTCAAAAATAGGAAAACTATTATTAAATGTATTACACCAATGACTTCACTGGATTGTGTTCTGTTCCTTAAATAATCTCTTGATAACATACTAAATATTTTTAGTTTTGAAACCTACACTACTGAATAATATAGAATATTTTACACAATAAAATGACCTAAAAAAGCAGGATGTTATTCAACAAGTAACAATATACTATTTATAATATGTCATAATAAACACACAAAGTTTTCCCAAATATATATTGAATATCTTCAAGTGCCATCATTAAATCTACAAATTAACAATTACTACAAAAAATGCAATCTACCTAATCCCATAACAATAACTCTCGCACCATTTGTGCAAGTACAGGAGTAAGCTATGGTAAATGGCTAAGAGTCCTACCTTCTTCATCATCACTCAATCCACAGAAATAATGATAACCTATAGGGAAGAACTCACACCACAGACTGTTCTACTCTAAAGATTTAGACAACCAGATTTTTCAAGGCAACACATTACAGACAATGTACATTTTCTAAAACATTTGTTTATAACCTATGATAACATAAGAACTTAAGAATTTAGTTTAAAAAAAGTAAAGAGCAAATAAATCTCTACTGATAAGCTATATGAAAAAGGAGTATTGATCATATTTGTGAATGCTATTTTACTAAAAAAGCATATAGAACCATAATGGCTTTACCATAAGAAATACACTAAAACCTAGAGTTTAATCAATTATCATATTATTCAGAAAGTTGTAAGAATGCAAGTTTAAGTTTTGTTCTTCCTTTTTGTTTTTAAGTCCTTACTTTTATATAATGAACCTAGCACTATTATCTCAAAATTTACTTTGAAAGCATGCAAACAGTTTTCCAGATTTTTAACAAGGAGTATAGGATACTACTGTAGTCCACAGAGTTTTCTGGTGAAGTAAAAATGCAAAAGCAGTTACATACCAGAACCATCTGCTAGCGGGATTACTCACTATCACTACGGTTCTAACACTGTGAGGAGACGTCCTTGTCAACTGACTGAACATCTCGAAATACCTAAAAATTCAACAAGCAGGACTTTCCCGATAGAATGAGAGTATATAGAGTCCTTGGTTTTACTTCAAATTCCCTACATATTGAGCAAAACATTTAAAATATTTTACATGTCCTAAGAATAAGTGCTAGGCAAATGTATAATATGTAGCAGTAAAGAGAAAAAAATCACATAATACATACAGTATCCTAAGCTTTCGTTCCAACTACACATAAGGACTAAGAAATTAAAGTTAATAAAAAAATGTTTTTCCAAAAAAGAGAGAAAGATAAAGAAATATAAAGGAAAGGAGAGAGACCAGGGAAGAAAACCACTGGCATAGAGACGAAGGTAAAATCAAAGCACAGATCTGTCTCCTGCTTCACAGAGAACCTAAGGAGGAACAAGAGGAAACATGAAAGGAACATTTCCTAGAAATGGAAATTTTATTGAAAGGTACCCATGAAAAATTTTCTAAATTATAAGTTGATAGTTTTGAGGACTCTGACACTGTAAGTTATCTTCTTTACTATATTAACTGAATCAAAACAAAATATATATCAGAAGTAAAAAACATTAGATGTACAATACATAACAGAACTCAATCTCAGACATAAGCCCAAGGCTTCAGCAATATATGCAGGTTTTAAAATGTAACGGCTGCTAATATGACCTCCCTAAAAAACAGTCACAATAAACCCCACCAATTTTATTTCCCTATAAATATATCTTAACCTTAAGACTTTTCTTTTGACATAGGTAAACTACCTATACTTACACTGGAAATATATTGTAATCCAACGTTTTATTCAGCAGACTTTGGAGTTCAGTTACTCGTGTGTGTGTGTGTGTGTGTGTGTGTGTGTTTTACATACATCATAATTTCTCTCTTCTTTTCTGATTATTTTAAAATAATAAGATGACCATTAAGAATGTACTTTGCAATACCATATTTTCCAACTATTTTTAGCTTAAAAAATTTTAGATCCACTTCCAATACTGAACCTTCTTTTAGACCCAATCCTTCTGCACAAAACAACAATAAACTATAGACTAAAATATAATATAAACAACCATCCGAAAGCACTGAAAAATGACCCAGAATAGGTTGATTCTGGGGAGGAATCAACACTTAGAAGGAAGAACAGAACTAAATGAGTTACTGGTTTGCTGCAGCTTTTGGCCTGAGGGCAGGCCTGAATCCACAACATGTAGGACAACTATATCTTCAATCTTTATGGTCGGAAGAATCAATAGATAGGCTGCAAGATAATCAAAGCCACTGGAAAGTTAAGAGGGGAATCCTAGAAAGAACAGAGTCAGAAAGGAGGAGCCCTAAATATACATTCAGTTCATATATACGGCTGACTTATGAACCATATAGGGAAATCCAAAAAATTCCTAGCTGAAGGTAAAATAACTAAAGATTTGAGCTGCATGCAGCCCAAGAGACAGAGCTTATAGTTTAAGCTTAACCATTAATTGCCTGCTAAAACAAATACACAAAAATCAGTATCTTTCAGAATAATAAAACAGAATCCAAAGTTTCTGTAACATAATTACAGCAATGACTAGGATACAATCCAAAATTAGTTCAAAAAAAAAGAGGAAAATATGACCCATTTCCAGGAGAAAAAACAACAGAGACCAATCCAAAATGACTCAAAATGTTAGAAATAGTAGACAAGAACTTTAAAGTAAAATTTAAAATTATACTCAAAGACATAAATGAAAATACACTCAAATAGAAGCTTTAAAAAAGAACCATATTGAAGCTCTAGATTGAAAACTGCATTATCTGAAATTTTAAAATGAACTGAATAGGCTTAAAAGCAGAATGGGGGTAATAAAAGAGTTAGTGAACATGATGATATATCAGTCAGTAAAAATCACCCAATCTGAAGAATAGAGAATAAAAGGATTGAAAAATAAGAAACCAGAGTCTCAGGGACCTGTGGCTAAATATGAAAGGTCAATGTATGTATAATTGGAGTTCCAGAAAATGAGGAAAAAAAGAACGAGAAATTTTTGAAAAATGGCTAAAAACTTCCCAAATTTGGTAGAGGACATAAATCTCTAATAAGACATATATGAAGAAAATCAATAATAAAGAAAATATCATGAAAGCAGTCAGAAAAAAAGAAGACATTAAATACAGGAGAACAATTATCTGAATATGCTGAAAGGAAAAAAAAAGCTTTAAGTCCAGTATTATATATCCAGAAAAATTATACTTCAAGAATGAAGGCAAACTATATCTCAGATAAACTAAAACTATGAGAATGTGTTGCCAGCCAACCTATAAACTTCTCAATCCTACTTGGAGATATAAAAGCCTCTCTCTTAGCAACTGATAGAAAACTATGCAAAAAGATCAGCAAAATATAAATTATTTGAACAGTATCAACCATCTTGATCCAATTGATATTTAAACATCTACACCCAAAAACTATAGAATGCATTTTTCATCTTCAGATGGTATATTCATCAACGTAGACCATATATATGATCCCCAAAACATGTGTTAATAAACTTATAATTAAAATCATAAAGAATATATTCTCTGACCAAAATAGAATCAATAACAAGTTATCTAGGAAAAAATCTAGAAATTATTATCTTCTACATACATGAGCCAAAGAAATTAAAAGAGAAAATACAGTTGACCCATGAATAACATGTGTTTAAATTGCACAGGTTCACTTTCATGCTGATATTTTTTAATAAATACCATAAATGTATTTCCTCTTCCTTATGATTTTCTTAATAACATTTTCTTTTCTCTAGCTTACTTTATTCTAAGACTACGGTACATATAACATACAAAACATGTGTTAATTGACACATTACATTATCGGTAAGGTTTCTGGTCAACAATAGGCTATTAGCAAAGTTTTGAGGAAGTCAAGTTATATGCAGATTTTCAACAGCATGCTAGGGAGCAGGGGGGCATCCCTAAAGCCTGCGTTGTTCAACGGTCAACTGTACTTCAAACTGAATAACAATAAAAATACAACATATCAAAAATCGTGGGATACAACTAAATAAATGCTTGGAGGGAAATTTATTATTTGAGATACTTATATAAAAAGAAGAAATATTTAAAATAAATGACCTATAGTACTATATTAAGAATAAGAAAAAAAGAGCAAGGTAAACCATGAATAAGTAGTAGAAGGAAGGAAATAACAAAAAGAGTTGAAATCAATGAAATAAAAAACAAACAATAAAGGAAATAGACAAAGTTGGTTCTTTAAAAGATCAACAAAATTAATAAACCCCTAGGCACACTGATCAAGAGAGAGAGCGAGAATAAATTACTAATATCAGGAATGAAAGAGGAGACATCACTACTGATCCTACAGACATTAAGAAGAGAATATTATGAATAACTATGCCAACGAATTCAACAACTTAGATGAAATGAACAAATTCCTTGAAAAATTCAACCTATCCAAACTGACATAAAGATGAAACAAAAAATGTGAATAACTCTATCTAGTAACAAAATTGAACCTGTTATCAAACAACTTTGCTAACATAGCACAAAAACACCCTTTAGGCTCAGGTGTTTGC